GCTAGCATGCAAAAAATAATCGATAGCTGCATTCGTCACAAGTGGGAAAAATTTAAATCTGCATGGCACTTTACTCCAATTGGCTCATTCGCTTGCTTAAACTCAACGGTGATTCTGATTCCGCAGAACTGGGTTGGATGTGAAAAGTATTTGTTGTTAACATTCTTTTTTTTCATTCGGTTTTTCCAGTTACGAGTCCTTTTAAAGCTGATCGTTTTGTGTTCATTTTGTTTAGTTCTTTTTTCGTAACAGATTTAATGTTTAGTATAGAGCTTAGAAAAAAATTCTTTTGTGTGAGATAGGCAAGAAATAAGACATGTAGCAACACCAGCACGGCAAAGGCATTCCTTTAAAGGCAAGGAAGGGCAAAAATATTTTAAGTCAAGTGATAGCGATTGCTGTATGAGTCGTACGATTTTTGAATCAAGCACGGGCAACGCCGGGCCATGCTGCTAATATATAATATATTTAGGCAAATTAGGCAACAAAGTGTTTTATTACATAAAACGCAGAAGGACTGTTTTTCTTTTGTCGAATTTTTACCTGGTGTGAAAAAGGTCGTTTTATGTCAGGTGTAAACTTGTAAAGGGAGTTGCTGATTTGTGTGTAATGTTCCGGCTACTGTCGACCATCTTTGGTCACTCTCAGATGTGAAGATAGAAACCGTGAAGCGTTTAATTTGTTAACGGTCCGGATATTTTGCAAAGAATGCGTATTCACATGATACCGTAGCAGAATATATATATATATATATATATGAGTGCAGGACAACTGAGCACAGCTTTGACTGAGCTACTGAAAGTGAAAAAGAATGAGAAGACTTTAGAAGTAACCGGTAACCCATTCCCAAGAGATAAACCTTTACTTCTGCTCAAAATACCGGGAAAGAGTGTGAACCGGGCGATAGGTGAACCTATCTACTCCTATTGAAGTCAAAAAATAAAAACAAAAAAAATTAAAAATAAACAGAGATTAAAATTTTCAGAATTTAGGCGGACACCTTGTTAAAAGTATACAGCTGTATCAAAACTTTAGAAGGAAGCAGAAACCCAATTCTAAACCTTAAACAAGAGATAAACCTCTAACTCTGTTCAAAAAATGCAGAGGAGTGTAAACCGGGCGATAGGTGAACTTATCAATTCCTATTGAAGGGGAAAATAAAAATAGTATATAAAATTCCTGATTTTAAGCGGAGAGGTTAGAAATACAAAGTTTTAGTAGAATTTAGAATGAACTGCTAAACCAATCCCAATAAGGGGTAAACCTCTACTCCTTTTCCAAAATCCAGGACACCAACATGAACCACACGACACACACACTTACTACACTTATTAATATATATATATATACACATATATATATATATATATATATATATATATATATATATATATATATATATAGGCTAATGTAGTACCCGTAAAAAAATAACCGAGTTGTCTACTGAAGTGTCGGCACTTGAAAGTCTACACTGCTCTTCTATTTAAACATTGTTTGGAGAAGAATAGTTGGATTCATGCCTTCTCAAGGGCATTTGTTCGGATGTTAGCGCAATAGACTCGACTGGAATTTGAACTCGGCTCCCTGACCCTTCTTTAAGTGCTGATAACCGTTGCACAACTCGTTTCTGAAAACTCATCCTTTGTAAAGATTCGATTATTTGTTTTTGTTAACGGTATATCAAAACCTATATGGGTTCTTTAATGCCGAAATCTAAATATCTTATTCGCAATTTTTGGCCGGGATGAGGAGATAATAATCGATTTAGTGATACAAGTCTTACTAATTAACTCATAGCTGGGGGGAAAGAGATGGATCCTTACCATCCCCAAGTGTATTTGCGCGTAAGTGAATACAACGAACTCAGCTCATCATTACACTACCCATGTCCATGTCTTATAGTACCATTCGGTCACCCATCTAGTTATTGACCAGACTCGACGTTACTTAACTTCAGTGATTGTGCAGGGACCAATGTTTCAACGTGATGTGACCGTAAGCCGTCGAAATTCGAACCCATAATTATATATATATTATACAGGCATTCATTTTCAAGACAAATAAACCTTCTCTGTTGGAGCAACACAATCTTCCATAACTTTAACCCCACCTACCTTACTAGGTATTGTACCAAAATGATCACGATTTGGTTGGTTGATTTAGTTTAGTTGCATATCAACAGCTCTATGGGTTTTTTAATGCCGAAATGTACATATTTTGAACGTAATTGTATGCTTTCAACTACAGATAAAATGTATTGTTTGTAATTCTACTATAAATTGCATTGCCGGTCATTTTACTTTTAAATTGTATTATTAGTAATTTTACTGTAAATAAGTACTGCTTGTATTCAATAAACTCATACACAAACACTTCCTTGCAACAAGTACTCTCCACAAGATATTCAAGTAAAAATCAGCTACAGTTGCACCGCGAACATAACACAAGTAATAAAAAAGTACAACAGGAAAAACAATCAACAAGCCATCTGTACCAATTAAGCCCACGTGTAACTGCAGAATAAAGGACGAATGTCCCTTAAACGACAATTACTTGCAAAATAATGTACTATACCAAGCCACTGTAAAATCAGCAGATAACAAAGAAAATGTATACATTGGAGTAACTGAAGGACCCTGGAAACAAAGAAACTACACGCAAAAATTGCCTTTACAAATAGTAAATACGCAAACAGCACAATGTTTTCTAAACATACCTGAGAAATTAAAAACAGACCACACTTAAAATATCATGGAAAATAAGGAAAAGAACATCAACCTACAACAAACAATCCAAAAACTGTAAACTCTGCCAGGAGGAAAAAATAGCTATAATTACCGTCCCAGACCAAAACAAACTATAAAAAATAAAAAAAATAGAATAAACAAAAATAAGTAAAATAAATTAATCCAAACTGAATGTCTTTTGTTCTAAGTTTGTAGAAGTTGATACGGTCATGTAAAATTATAGATGAAACGAGTAAATTTTGTTTTGTATCATCAAGGAAAACCTGGTTTGTCGTTTCAGACCGACGTTTAAAAATTATCTATTTTATGCACTATGCCGAAATTTTTGACTGGTCATGTTATCACGGAATCTAGCGTCCTCTTCTCCTTACTGTTGAAATGCGAACTGATTTGCTGACCCCATCTTTCCGGCCGATGTCCAAAACAACCACAAGTCCGTTGTTAACTGGGGCAAAAGGTGGCTTGTTAATTTTAACGCCTTCAAAACTAAATTTCTTTCCATTAATCAACTAAGAAACCCCTGGCTGCCTTCCATCAACATGGCTGATGCTAACCTCCAGGAAAGTGACTTGTTGCGCCTTCTCAGGCACACATTTCTCAGTTGATATGAAGTGGGATGACTATATTGAATCTATTGCTAGGTCCGCTGCCAAGAAAGTCGGTTCATTCTGTTGGACGAGACAATATTTATCTTACATATCTATAAGTCTACCATTCGTCTTAGAATATTACTGCCACATATGATCCGGTGCTCCTGTTATTTACCTTGAGTCCCTTGATAAGATCAAAAGAAGAATCTGCAATATTATTGGTCCTGATCTGGCGGCTCGGTTCCAGTCATTTTCCCACCGCTGTAAGTTTGCCTCTTTATGTCTTTTCTATAAACACTTCCATGGTAATTCGGATCTCTTCGCTATGGCACCTTGAGTTATTTTAATTTAAGCGCAGCCCTAGACTAACGTTAAGATCACATCAATTTACAGTTGGGCTGGCGGGATGTAGCTGTAACTTCTATGCTGACAGTTTCTTTTCTTTTCCCCTTCCGGCTCCATGCTTTCCAGCCAACTTTAATCTGCAAAAATTTAAATGCAATGCCAATCGCTGTACTCCTGATTACTTCTCTTTCTGCTCAACAATATTGTTTCTGTTCCTAATTCTTCTACACCCTGTAAACCCCTTGTGTTGGATGAACATTGGCGCAATATGTTGACTGTGTTTTGAAAATAAATCATTCTGTAATGCTAAATACATACACGCAACAATCCATTTCCAGTTAACAGTAAATATAATTCTTCCTTGATAATGGCTAAAGGTATAGCCGAAAGCGCTTGGCATAAGAAAACATTTGGATAGTTTTTGCATAATTTATCTACAGAAAAGAAAAAATTATATGATCATATGAGAAATTGTATAAAAAACTTAATCAAAGTACCTTGTGTGTGTGTGTGTGTAAAGCAAACAGACACTCAAGTTCTCCTCAATTATACATTTTAATCCTTTTTTTTTTACACTTTGTACGATTTTAATTTTAAATAATAGTCAGTTGTTTACGCTCTAGTAACGTTAGATTTTGTTACAAATGACTCAATGAGATTTGCTTGAAACTGGAGCCTCGTTTTGGATGATGGCCATCGGCATTCGCCGTGTCTGGAACATTGATATACAGACTCGATAATCAAGGTCCATAACTGGAGTGTCACATTACAAAATGAATGAATGAATGTGTTAAAACAGACAAGATGACAGGCTATATTTTTCGCTGTAACAAAGGAAGCCGAGAAAGACAAGAATTTTCTTAAAGGACGTTCTTTTTTTTTATCTGCGCGTCAAGCGTTTTTTTTCTTCATTTTTTTTTCTTCTTTTTTTTTAAGAATGCAATCTATAATTCAATACACTTGTTGAGTCCATGCTCTTAGTTTATGAACAAGACATGCGTGTATTATTTTCCAGAAAATTGTTTTACTGTTTATTTTTCAGTCATAATTTTGTTTTCAGGTGACGACGATATTTCATTTTCGTTTCAGTAATTACCGAGTAGAAAAGAGGATGAAAAATTAATCCTGACGAGAGAACCGAACACTCTTTGCAGTAAGTTAAAGCTCCGAATAATTCTACTTGGCATAAAATGATTTTGCTGCAAAATGGCCGTTTCACTCGTTCGCATGCAAACAATACTTGAAAGCATCGAAACAAATATCCTACAATTATAGAAGCAACTATGGAACTACGATTATGCGGCCTTACAGCAACATCACGTTGAAACACCGGTACCCGTACGATCACTGAAGCAACGTCGAGCCTGTTCAGTACCTAGATGGGTGACCACTTGGGAATACAAGGTGCTGTAAGCTTGGGTGTGTTGGTGGTGCAATAGATAACGGCTCGGAATTGTTAATCGGTTGTTATATTTACTCAAGCCCAAAAAGAAAAAGGAAATGCATTCACTTCTCCTGGCCCCCAGCTATGGGTTAATTAGCAAGACTTGTATCACTAAACCATTATCTCCAAAAACATTCTTACTTCCATAATTTCTCGAAAATAATACACAACCAGAAATAATACGCATCCCAACAAAAATTAAGAAATATATCTATCCCTATGTATAATACGCATCTAGAAATTTTGTCAAAAAAAAAAATAATTGCGAAGACATTTTGTCGACCTAGACATTAGGAATAAAATCGAAACTAAGCGGCAAAAATAATGTTGAAAATTACCAGCGCGGTTTTCCCGATAAATGGTAGCAAAAAAAAAAAAAAACAGAGTTGGAACTTATTGTAAAATGGATTCAGGAATCTTGGGATTCCGTCAGTGAAGATGTTATAAAGAGAGGTTTCGAGAAATGTTGTCTCGCGACAGCCATGAATGGCTCTGAAGATGACATCTTTTGGCAAGAGAATAAAGAGGTCAAAGATAATTTTGAACAGGATGAAGAAAATATTGTGAATGATAATTTGTTTAATGACAATTTAAATATTGATTCTATAATAGAAAGTGGCGATGATGATGATGATGAAAATTAAAATTTCGATAAATTGTTAATTTGATATCCTCTTTTCTTCAAAATTGGCCTTTTTATAGATTTTTTATTTTTTCGTCAAATAAAATATGCGGTTACTGATAAACATAAATTTATTGACAAAAAATGTTGCAATTATTATTGTTGGATTTAAAATGAAAATTGGGATAATATCTTTCTTATTTTAGAACAACAAGTACTTATTATTATAAATACAAGTATTTATTATTATAAATCAATAACGAAAAAATATTTTGTTTAAACCTATTTATAATACGCACCCTTACTATCGCCTGTAATTTACAGTAAAAAAAAGTATTATTTTCGAGAAATTACAGTATTTAAAATTATTTTCTGGCTTTAAATAACCTGCAATGGGTTTATAAACCGTACAAAACAAAACAAACAATACGATTATACGAATAAAACAAGAATAACCTCAGAGCATGGGCGATCATGTGTCTCCACAACTTCCTATCCTTCGTAGATCTTATCTTTTTACTATCCCTTCCATTTTTTACAAACCTTTACTCTGTAACGAGAACGAGCGAAATAAATATGTATTCTCCCAATTACATTTCTCTTGTTAAATCCGGGATACATTGTAGCTGATGGACAGGACGAAGCAGAATGTCCGAAAGGAAAAAAACATACATTATTCTCAGAGAGACTTTTATATACTACGACATACACAAAACGCACAACTGTAAAAATTTAAAATCAAACTCAGCGTTGCTACTGCACGCTCCAAAGACAATAACTTATTTCTAATATCATTTTCGGATACAACAATACATATATTTTCGTTGTCCTCTTATTACTGAGAGAAAAAACAAGAACAACATCTATTCCATACCTGAAGATGTCTGTAGGAACAGACGAAAGCTTGTAGTAAAAATAAGAACTAATGCGGCAGAAATTTATAGAAACAAGGATCTTTTCATTCATAACAGGTTCGGAGGTTTTTGTATATTATTTGAATTGTTTGCGACGATGGATTTCTCGCCAATTAAATCATTAACCTTTGCATTTGTTTTTGTGTGAATAATTCATGAATTTGTAAAACCATATATATATACATATATACGCCTGCCCACGTGGAGAACTATATGTCACACTAGCCGGTCGCTCGCAAGATTGTGAGTACAGTCGCTTTGCTCCTGCAAAAAAGATTAAAAGTCGGGATTTTTCAACTTTGTTCCCAAATATCTCCTTTGCCATTGGATGTCTTGAAAAATAATAGAGAGCGAATATAAAAAAAATTTTAATGTTTAATCGATTCTTCAAAATACATTTTTCCAAAGTAATTATACTCAGATGTGCCAGATGTTTTATCTTCTACATGAATAAATGCGAAGTTGGAGCTTAATTCTTCCACGAATTCTCGGGTTAAAAGGACACAACTCTACTTTATAGTAATTTACACGCGGTATTTACTCTGTCCTCACACTAGGACGAGATGTGACACAAGGTCTATTTTTAGGTGGGGACCCGAGCGCGTACACCCGGGACAGGAACAAAAATTTCCTTCGGCCCCTGCGACCTTTGGTTGCGCTGGCCTTGGTGCGAACACCGATTCCACCTTCTGGTGCAGTAGGAGGATGCGGCCTCGGGCAGCTGTCCCCCAAGGCTGGGCACCTCTCAGTATAATTTTCCTCAGTTGTCCCTCTGTTCTTTGACGGAGTCGCCCCTGAGTGCACTCTGCCCAAAGGCAGAAACGCAACTGAGAGGTGATAAGTAGACGTGAAATTACCCAAAAAGAATAATTTTCGCGTGGTATTTACTGTCCGCCCACTAGGACAAGATGTGACACAAGGTCTATTTTTAGGTGGGGACTCGAGCGCGTACGCCCGGGACAGGAACAAAAATTCCCCCAGCCCTCGCAACCGTCAGTTGCGCTGGCATCGGTGCGAGTACCGATTACTCCCTCTGCTACAATGGGAGGGTGCAGCCTCGGGCCGCTGTCCCCTAGGGCTCAGTATTATTTTCGTCAGTTGCCCCTCTGTCCTTTGACAGAGAGGCCCCTGAGTGCACTCTGCTCAAAGACAGAGACGCAACTGAGAGATGATAAATAGACGTGAAAATACTCAAAAAAAGTAATTTGTATTTACTCAACTCACCCCCACGAGATCAGGTTGTGACACAAGGTCGGTTTAATGTGGGGAGCCCGAGTGCGTGCACCCGGGAAATGAACAAAAATTCCCCGAGTCCCCGCAACCGTCGGTTGCGATGGCCTCGGTGCGTGCACAGATCCTTCTCTCTAGTGCAGTGAGAAGGTGCGGCCTCGAACAGCTGTTCCCCAGGGCCGGCACCTCTCAGTATAATTTTCCTCAGTTGCGACTCTGTCCTTTGACGGAGTTGCCCCTGAGTGCACTCTGCTCAAAGACAGAGACGCGACTGAGAGATGATAAGTAGACGTGAAATTACCCAAAAAGAGTAATTTTCGCGCTAAAAGCTCCGTATCTGTATTATATATTATCTACTTCTAGACAATAACACTTTTCAGCTTTAACGAATCTGTATATTGATTTTAAAAGCATATTTCATTAACTGTCCTTCATTACTGTTCTTTTTGAAGATTGCTTTGATTTTCATATAAAAAATTGCTCTGTTTAGGAATATTGTCTTATATAGTGCAGAAAATGTAGACTGCAATTTTGGATACAAAAGGAAAATAAGAGTTACTCCTCTTGAACCATGAATGCAACGATAATGGCTAGTATAATATATTAATATATATTTTTAACTTCGCATAATCTGGGAACACTGAATCTGAGCTCAACAAAAATCGTTCCCTGTGCCTAGCCTTTCTAGGGCTTTTGAATGAGCTACGAATCATTGAAATCGGACCAGTGGGAGCGGAGGAGTTGGACACACACACACGTATAAACACACACATACACATATACATACACTTTATTTTATATATAAGATATATCTACATAGTAAAGTATAAGGAGGAACAGAAGGAAGGTCATACATATAATTTGAAGATATTCTCGACCTGAAGAAGACTCAAGGTTTAAACGGACCGGATTCAGCTATGTCCCAAAGGGAAACGTCATCATGTGCTGGGGAGGCAGATTTAGTCTCAGCCTGCGCCATAGGTACATTCATCTATATCCCAAACAGAAACAGCATCATGTGATTGTAAGCTAGGGAGGCAGCCTGCGCCCTGAAGAGATCCCTCCAGTCTCGCCATCATAGGACGGAATTTTGACCAAACTGGGCGCTACTTTTATCTCGCGAGATAACCGCACGTCCACGCATATTGCAGTTTATCTTCTAGGTGCTGTGTTTATTCAGGACATGGGTGATCATTGAACGGTTACTTGCTTTTACCTGCGAGTATTAGTTTTTCCAAGTCTTCTTTCCTCATTGTGTGTGCCTGAAATTTCAGCTGTCTCTTTCTGATTTTAATTGCCCTTTTTGTTTCTGTTTTTCTTTTTCGTTGCTTACATGTTCCATCCATTCTCAGAACCATATCGGTTACCTAAAGTCTACTCTTCATCTGTGGGGGAATTGTTCAGTATTCATTGTCATATGGGAGGACTGATATTTCCTAGCAAATCAGCATTCTTTGTTTCTAAAAGAAATATTTAAGCACTCTTATATACGTAAGAAAAGGAATATGCACATTTCATATATATATATATATATATATATATATATATATATATATATATAAAAAGCATAAAGCATTTCAACAATTTTCGCCTTTTCATCGTTGCTCAAGAATTTCTTTATGCAACATGTTGCATATAATTTGGAACGGCGCGGGCACCCCGATGTGGTGTAGTGGTTGGGAAGCTTTTCTTGCTGGAACAATTACGAATGAGTAGCGAGTTCGATCCTCACTGGGTGCCCCATATTTTTGGCCTTGTGGACCCTAATAGTGATATTCTAGAAATCAGTGTTAGTCTAAAAAATGTTAATGCCTAATACACACAGAAAACAAACAAGCATTATTCTTAGGATTCAAAATCTGTTTCGACTTTAAATAACTTCTTCTCATTCTTTCTCTTTCTCTATCTATCTATCTATCTATCTATCTATGTCAGTCTATCTCTATCTAATGGCCGCCTTCCTGTTCCGTTCTAGCAACTACCTTGTGCTATCCTCTAGCTTTACAAGACCCAGATCAGGCCTAAAATGGAGTGTTACTGTCATATAGGGGCAAGAGCTGCCCGTTTCTCACTCTCCAGTCCCGAGAGAGTGCAAAAACGTCTCCGCGTCTCCAGAAAGTGACAAATTATTTTCAACGCTACAATCCCTCTCTTACAGAAAGACGTCGCAAGCATCTCACTACTCTATCGCTGTTTCTATGGTA